AAATATATATATATATATATATATAAATATATATAAATATATATATATATCTCTCTCTAAGTTTTACAGGATCGTATTACTTTCTGACATTCGGAAAAATCATTTTTGTTCATTATATTGTCAATGCGATCTCATTGATCTAACATTCTTTTTTAATGATTGATGAGTAAGGGGAGGCGGTGTTATCAATAAATCGTTATCGCGCAATCTCGAACGGACACGAAGAAGCGCACTTATTTTAATGTGAAAATCACTTTTTCTAAGGTTCTTCACCTTAAGAAAATCGTACCGCTTAAATAGAACAAATTTTGCGTTGGCATCGGAGGTTATGAGAACTGAAGTAGTTACGAGCAGCGCGGTACGCTTCGTCAGAAGAGGGGAGCGTCCGTTCGGCACGAACAATACGCCCCACAAAGCGGACAGCGGCACTTTAGTCAGGAACGAAACGGTTTACAGACGACGCGCGAACGCCGTTATCGCAACGCTCCCTCGTATCGTCGTATTCGCGAATTAAAGAAACCGCGCGAACTGACCTCGGCGTCATCGACGGAGGTCTGCGTATCGAGTGTAGAACTGGCACTTAGGCCCCGAGTTCCTATCCCGAAGATGGCCGAGTCCGCACGAAGCGTGGAAAAATGCGAGCAGAAACTGCGCTTATGACGTCCTGATTCGCTGCGTAATACAATCTTATTTTTAACCGGCACACGAATCAACCGGTGATTATTTTTCAAAATATTTTTCATTCTACATCTGTCCTGGAAGAGCCACATAGGTATATTAATGGCGATTCGTAATTTCCGAATGATGTTTTTTTTTGTCTATCAATATGGCATCAAATCAGTTCATTTTCATTGTATTCACACATTTCGTGATTTCATGACATTTCTGATTTTTCTTTCATACTTTGATTCGAAGGTAATGTACATCCAATGTAATAAGTTAGACCTTATTGATTTTATTTTGTCAAGATGTCAGATCGCATATTTGCGTAACTATTATTATGTTTTCATCATACGTATGATTTTTACTTATATTGGGCACAAGCAATTTTTCGATAATATTCATGTGAGATCTTTTAACAATTTGCACATAAGCTTCGTCACAGATTCGTTTTATTGAACGGTTGATGAATAGAACCCCTCCCTTTTTGCTCGACGCACCAATGGCAGAGTTCACGGTGGGGGAAACGGCGCAGTTCTTCATCGTATTGTAGGACAATCGATTTTCGTCTCAATTCACCTCGATCTCAAGTCCAATATTTGATCATAATATGGATTATCCATAATTCCATTGATCTTGATATTTTGATCTTGAAAGATTAATTATCTCTCATTGTTAATCTAATCATATTTACATTTAAATATATTGTCAAGATTGGAAACTAACATTACTTGTAATGTCGTTATCGTTACAATTACACCTTTTTTAATAACGAATTGACAATATATATATTATATTCTTTTAGTAATATTAATAATTAATGTTAGTTACATTAATGATAACGCAAATACATTTTCGCAACAAATATAACTTATTTTTGTATGCAAATATAAAAGTAAATATAAACTTAGATATACATTACTTACTTAAATATACATTACTTTTATTGTTATTTTGCATTTTGCATATTTGTTATGTTTTTATATATATATGTATATATAAAAACACGCGATATTCATATAAACGGACACAAACGAGTTCTAAAAAAAAGTCTTCAAAATTTAATAAAAAGAAAATTGTAACAATTTATTTATTATTTAGTTATTTCTCTAGTTAATTATAAAAATGTATAAATTATATTATAATTCTATACATCGTTATTTCTTTAGAAATGATAACGATAACAAAAGGCCATTTTTATAATCAATTTTTATATTTAAGATCGTTTTATTATATTCTAACCAATAGAATGGTTGTATAAGCTCATTTAAGATACTCTTAAAAGAATGTAAGAATGAATGAATACCGGCTAAAGTTACCTTTTTTTAATAACGAATTACTTTCTAAAAGTAACTTTCTCCTACATATTGCTCAATAGAGGAAAAATTTATTATTTTTCAATAAAACAATTTTAATATTAAATGATACATGAATTAACAAATATTCGCAATATCCAAATTTCAAATTTGAATATCAAATATTCAAATTTCTTGTTAATGAAATATAAGTTAAAAGTAATTTTATATTTTGTAAATATCTGAAAACTGACGCCTTCCTTTCCCCTTCCTCTTTTCATTTTCTTGATCAAATATTTCAATTTAGATTTTTTTTGTTAAACAAATCAATAAAGTAAAAGAGAAAGAAAATCGGCAAAAAAATATAGCTAATTCGTTATTTCTACTTTGAAAAAAACCTATTAAAAATTTACTTTGAAAAAAATCTTATTTATTTTTTCCAAATAATCTTTATGTACTTCACATTTGGAAGTGAATAAAAGTTAAATTAGTCAAAAGTTAAGTTGATCAAAAGTTAAGTTGGTCAAAAGTTAAGTTGGCTTTTGCCATCTGATACGTTCCTCCCCACTACTTCCTCTTTTCTGAATATCCCAATATCCCGATGCGGACACACCTCTTACATAAGTCTAAAATGTCATTCTTTTGTCAATAAAAAATTTATTATATGCATTTTATTTTTCAAAAAATATTGCGTTTGTTGCGAAAGTTCGCAGTTACTATAACGAGAACAATTGCAACAAAAAATATCTATCAGTTTTTATTCCAAGAAATATTTCTAATTATATATCTGATATTCAATGATTAAATAGAAAGTACACTTTCTGTATATTCTGAACATTTACTGATCGCGCGAGATGGACGGTCATTAATATAAAGATTCACATGATTTACAGATAAGTTCAACATAACCTTGATTTGTAACTGACTAAATTCTCCGTAACTTAAAAATTTAGAATGAATAATAAAAGAACAACTTTCTTTATATAATTTTGAACTTCTTCACTACAGTGTTTTTAGACGAATTTGGCGAGCATACAATAAAAAATAAAAATATATTGCATTTTAAAATACGATAAGAACATTCCTCTAAATAACAATATCTAAAATCGGGACAAAAATGCCTTAAAATGGTTTATTTGCTAAAGATATTTTTATAACATTTTTAAATATTTTATGTCCCAATTTTGGACACATTATACTAAGTTACTAATTGTTTTAATGATTGTGTAGATTAGATTGTTAATCGTTTTATTAATAATGATGTCAAGGGTAAATTTGTTTTTATAATCTTCAAAATAAAATCTCACACGCAAAAGTTTAATAATTAAACAATTTTATGAAAGCAATAATGTGATAGTTTATAAAATCATGAAAATTTAAAAAATTCGTATAACTTATATACAAACGGGCATAATAAAAAATTGTAGTTATTCTCTAAAAATGAAAAAATTATAAAAATATCAAGAATATAATCAATTATATTTTCTAAATATATTTTACGTGCGTAATATTCTCTTTTAAATAGGTCAATTGAACTAGCAGTGCCATCTGTTGTTACTTATATCGTGATGACAAAATAATATTATGTATATATTATGCAACAATGTCGAAAGATATGTAATTGTTCAATTTATCATACTTTGTATAATATGATTTTTTTTTAATATAACATTATAATGAAACATTATGCAATAACAAAGAAGAAAACATTAAATAATGGACATTAGAATGCTTATTATTATTATATTAATGTATAAAAAATAGAATAAAATACTATAAATTAAAAAAAATCTCAAAACATTTTATTTTGAATATACGTTAAATTATAAATATAAGATTATGGCTAACGTGAAACATTTCACAATCTTCAGACAAAATATTACATTTACAATAGTAAAAAAAAGTAAAAAAAATATACATTTCTGTACGTTTAGAAAAAAATAAGAATATAAATCAAATAAAAATGTATTTTGACTTAAGTTTAACATTACGCGTATTTAAATCAATATTTTGATAGCACTATTATGTTATTGATAACATAACGACAAATATAATCTGAAAATAAAAGTCATTGAAAAGAATTGAAACATACTATATTTGTATCCGACTAAATGTAATAACTGAAATTACAGAATATTGTACCGATATTTATGAAATTTCATTAAAATATTAAATATCTATATATTGATTTGCAATATTCATAATAAATCGATAAATAAATCATATTTCTCATACAATAAAAAGTTTTATTAACCTCAAATTAATGTAATCATCTAATATGTATTGAGAAAACAACAACAAAATGGCGTACATGAGCCTATCTAAAATGGTGTCCCTGCTATATCTCTATAGCAATAATCAACGTCTTTATGTAAATCCTTATTGGCCTTGAGGCCCAATTTTGGCAATACGCTATATTCAATATATGGTTATTTATTTTGAAGAAACAAGAAAGAAACAACTAAAAACTATCCTACTAAATAAAATTTAAAAATTTTAATTGTGTTTTGTCTAGGTTTCGAAGTACATCTCAAACGTTCGAAGAATATCCTGAACATCTTAAAAAATCAATTGAGATTAAGATGTACGCGAGTTTAATATGCGAATAAAGGGAACCGATTATCTACATTGGAATACCACGATTACTCATGGCAAATCCATCAGAACCCTATTTCAGAACATCAGAAGGATAACAATAAACTCACGTTATAGCATTTTATGGGAAGATTTCTAGTAGTGCCGTATTAACTTTTCGCCACGTGGAAACAGGTTATATTTTCAATAAATATGCCACAAACGGACAACACTTCTGATACTTGACTACATCAGGTAACTGCAACATCGCAATCTAAACAAGCGACTCTGGCAACGTTGCCGGTCTCCCACCACCTCGATCCTCGATTATTTCACTCAACATTATATTATATTAACATTGGAAAATGTAACAAAATTGTGACTAATTGGAAATATATGACAAATCTGAATGATTTATTATAAATACGAAATACAAAATATAAAAATTCTATAATATAAACGCAATAAACACATATCTAAAAAATTATCGACGTATACGTCCGCATATGTCGGACACATCTCATCTGCGCACGCGCAACGTCGCCTAAATTCTCCAAGCAACAATTTTAGCCTAACTGTAGGGATTGTCTCCTTTTTTTCTTTTGTCAAAGAATTCGTACGTTTTACACGAATAACTCTTTCCATTACTACAATTAAAGATGCATGAGACAAGAACATTATTGCGAATCCGGTAAGTAATGTAAGTATATACGTCATAGCGTGTAAGCTGTTGTTATTACTAATTGTATGTTGTACGTTTATACGTACAACATTTGTATCGAACAACAGAACAATCGCGTCAATTGTCAAAAATATTATAGTATTAGTATGTAATAGAGACGTTTAGAGAATCATATTGCCATCAGGTTATTTTGAAACAACATATAACGACATCATGTTCCTTCAATCCTACATATGGGAATTATACTTAGGCCAATTGCTTATCACTGAAACCATTTTGTTTTTGTAATCGCTGTATGCGATCCCTGCTTTGTTATTTATTGTTTTCATTATCGTATTTACCATAAATATTTCAAGTTTTGGATAATAAAATTATATTATAATTTAATTTTT